GTACACTTGCGATAAAATCAGGCTTATCCCAAGGAAAATGTTTATGTCCCCCTTCGCTTCAAGTTTCCCTGGAGAAAATGACAGTGTAGCGAAAGGGGCCCCATATAAGGGGAAAATAAAATCATCAGCTACTTGAATTTTTAATACTATAAATGAAATTTTTATTTGAAAATTATATTATTTTGTTTTATTTTCTTTGTTTCGAATACCTACAAAAAGAATGTCGATCGATTGAAATTCTATGGTGTCACGTTTGAGTTTCTCGGTCACTTACAATAGAAAGTGGACGGAGGCGATTAATACACGCCCGTCGTTCTCCAACGAGAACGTACTATGAATTTAATAACCAAGGTGTTGAGCAGTGTGTATTGACAAATCTGTCACGATGCTGGAGATAAATATTCGAAACTGTAGCCAAATCGATACGATATGGTTATCACGAAGGAATTGATACCGATAATCACCATATGTTAATTACACTTGTAAGTTATTTTCTACTGCTTCTACTGATTCTTTCTTACGTGATTACATTATTCTGGAGGAGGAATGAATGGTAATTCATTAGGATTAGGACCGATCGGAATTCTTGGATATCGTCAGTAAGGAATTGAAGCATACACAGAGAAAATATGCAATATATACTGGGTCAAAATGACCCTGTACTCGGCATGCAAGGGTGAATAACCGGTAGCAGGAATCGAGTTTCGTCGTTTCGACCTCGATTGAGAAGGAACGTATTTGCCTACGCGACGTCGTTGATTGAGAGAGGAATTCGAGTACTGCACACGTACGACGCTCGTTTATTTTATAGTGGAGGCACGTTTTATAGATCCAATAAGAGATTGACCCGATTTTTACTGGTCGGTCGCCGGTCGCCGGTCGCCGGTCGCCGGTCGCCGGTCGCCGGTTGCAGCCGCTTTCATGCTGGCCACTATCCGTGGAAGATAAACTGTCCCGCCCTCCGAAAGACAAAAGATTTAATGCCGTGGTCTCGGGGATATAAACGCGGCCCGTTTGAATGATCGAACATGCTTGGGAAACGGACAAACGAGTATATATGTATCTAGAACACGCGTTTGAAATTGGGAAGGGAGATTTCATTTCTATTTATTTAAATGAAATCTCTTGAGTGGCACACGAAGAGAAATTATTTCAAGTTTCTGTAACTTTTTCTACTGTAATATCGTCGAATTTTCTTTAATCGATTTGCTTAACTCACTGGAGGCTGAACTTTCGGTAGTATGTATTTCAATGTCAGTACTTTATCTGTATCCGGGCCGCGACAATTTTCTTACGAAAATCATGATAGTTAGCGAAACAAACGGTGGTTCCACGAAGCGGTCCGATCATTATTTCACAGAGTGTAAGTACTTGGTACACGGCCAGTTAAGACTCGCGCGTGCTCGTAAACTACGCGAAACAAGTTTATGAGACGGGACGATAATACGGTTATCGCAACCGCTAGTGTAGGCTGACCTACCATCGAAAATAATGGGATCTTCATTTCACCTACAACTGCAACAATCGAACATTTAACTTTAACCCTATTTCTATGACGTCCGTTATATTGGAATCAAATTTCTGATAAAATCACCGATTTATTCGTTAATAGTAGCTATTTTAGTAAAAATCATTAACTCATACTTGAGAAGAAACTTGAAGTGAATCATTTTGATTGGTTTGGTAGTTTCCACAGGTATGTACATACATACATACATACATACAACTGAGGCTGATTGTACGAAATGAAATTGCTAAAAATATATAGTAATTATAACAAACGGGAGATAATGAGAGCGTAAGCAACCAAGAGTCATGACTTTTCATGACGATAACCCATTAATTTCAACCATTGTATATTCTATTCTGTTTGACGCAGAATTGACTTTGTGTCTCAAGTCTGAAGTAAGCTCTTACGATTAAATACCTACAATTGACGAAATTAAAATTAGTCAAGTGCAAAAATTTCATCCGACACATTTCATTCTTTTTTGCACCCAGAATCGGCTCGTATAAGAATTTCTCGGTTCTGCGTCATTCGAAATAATGAAGGAAATTTTGTTTTCGATGGATTTTGCGGTATTTTCAGTTAAAACGGATCTGAATTTTAATTTAAAAAGTTTTAGTTTTGTTTAACCTTTAGAATTTCAAGTTAACAAATTATTATTTCCTTCAAAATATACTTATTTAAACGATGCAATTTAATTTATAATTTCCATAATTTGAGAAAAGAATAAAGATGCATAATGAAATATACCTATTAGTTTATGTCAGCAATTTTCTTCTAGGAGTTATCATCGTGTTTACATGTAATATGCTTTATTTAAAATAGCTGTGTCTTGTAAACATCACTTTGTCTCAGTTATGGGAGGTAATTACTTTTGATTGACATTGCATGTCAAATGACAACTGTCTAAAGGATTTGTTGCAACATTCGTCGTTGAGTTTTAATAATTTATCATGAAAATGCAATCCTGGCAAACGTTTGGCCGTTCTCCCAAATAGCGACCGTTCATGAAAAATAGAAATTGGTAAAAGTAAATTTATCACTATCAGAATGTTTAGTAAATATTATTCATTACTACAGAATGAATGTGATAGATGCGTATAAAAGATGCAATGCATTAATGCACACTCGTGTGTAAGTACCTATATACCTATATACATATTTAAAAAACAAGATACGTAAAATCCAATAAACAACTATTTTATTCTCAATTTTTTATTGAAATTTATGTATTTATACGAATATTTTCAGTCTAGTAATGACACGAAGCCTAAGAAATGATAGAATCATTATAAGGTGTTTGTACAATTAGAGGTATACATATTACTAATATGAAATTTATACATACATACTGTATATTCGAAGCAACGTGTTCATAAATATTATTCCTTTGATTTTCGGAAAATTTCAAACTGGTGAACAGCGAAGGAGCAAAGAGTTTTGAGGGTGACGGGCGATGGGTGAGAGGGGTGGGGAGATACGTAAAAGTTCGTGAATATACGTTTTTTTACAGGAATTAAAATTTCTTTTTAATTTATATTTTATAGTATTATTATTCTGGGAATGGGGGAGTCCACCCCTATCACCCACGCTCTGGTTCTGCCACTGCTTGTAAAGTAAATATAATATTTCTGTAATCTCATCGTCACTTTGCTATTCTCTTATTTTAATGAAATGGTTTTAACTGAAAAGCGTAATGCAATGTGGCATAACGCATCCTTTCCATTTACTATACATTTACATCAAATACAGAGCATAATACTGCAAATTAAATTTTAATTAACTGAAAGGCATTCTCTTTCATGACATTGCTCCACGATATGTATGTACATACATACATATATGTATGTATAGTGCATTAAGAACAGGTCGGAATTAAATCAGTTCAGCTACGAAATTCATCCCCCATCCATCTTACTCACCAACTGCTGCACCATCAGATTAATACTTATTCTTATCTGTAGAAAATTTCTTAATGAAAAGTATCGTGAACAATACAGCATCAGAATTACTTGGTCTATTAAAAAGATGAACGCTTTTCCGCGTTAGGAATCGAGCCACTTTACGGCTCGATATAATATAACTGTACCCTATAAGGTGTTTGTTCTCTGTTAATTACACAATAGACTATTCGATAATAGTTAAATCTGTTGATAAGTAAGTAGTTACAAGTTGGATTCGATTCCATCGCTAGAGCAACCGAGCAGCACACCTCTACATATAAGTTTACGAGTTAAGTCGAGGCTCTCTCCTTTCTTTCCCATTCGCACCTTATCCGTAACTACGTGCCGAAGTTTACACCCCAACGAGTCTAGGTCAGGAACGACGATGACGACAGCTACCAACGTTTGACCTTAAGGTCTAATTTTAAAATTCTCACCGAGTAAGAGAGAGGGTGAGAGAGCCATGCTGCAATACGAGGCACGAACGAGAGCCACTTGACGAAACAACAAACATTATCGCACCTATCGATGCCAGTATCCATCGAACTGCTTGAAAATATTTCAGATTTTCGATGGACATTTTCTTCGTTTGAAACGTGTTAAACAACTAAATATAAAATTCGTTATTCGAACTGAAATCATAATTTGAATTTGCATTTTTAATTCTCTTATTTCTAATTGGCTCTGCTGCCAAGCTGCAATAGCTTATAATGTGCATTGATCCTTTAACATCTCACAAAAGATAGTGCATTCTCTTTGGCTGATTAATAGATGGCTTACAGACAAAGAGACTGATTATATCTGGGTTGACAATAAACTCGCTTCCTCCAGTTACAAATCCATCCAACAAAGACTGTATACGAGATTATGAGAATAAATTCAATCTGCCAAGTCCTGATCTCTAAGATCATACAATACTCATCTAGAGAATCTTATGATAAATCTAATTCTAAGCTAATAAATATACATGACTATCCTATAAAAGGATTTTTCTAAGTATATGTATATCATAGAGGTAGCTGGGTCAAAATTAGAATGCCTCCCATCTGATAATAATAACATGAATTTTTTCAAAGTAATAGCTACAATTTTTTGACACCCCATGAAAGCAGCTATCAAGATGATAAATTCAATGACCTGCGATATGAGAGTTTTAATATCTTAAACAGGTAGGAACGAAGGATACACATCGGATCCTTTTTATTTCTTTCATGAACCTACCACTTACAAGATAAACCACGGGGAACTAATAGCGCGGACAGCCTGTATATGCGAGAAACTTAATGAACCCATGTGTTCCGAGCATATGAAAACCTTTCACGAACGGTTAATCTTAATGTCTCATAGCCATTTACGTTTACATCATTTTTCTCAAGTATTTTATGATATGTTTCGATATCGTTTGTTTCGTTGAAATCATTTTTAAGGTAGCCTTACTTTTTGATACAAGATAGGTAGGTACTCGATATTTCCTAAAAAGATCCGTCTACAACACGCGTGTGAAAAGGTTAAAAAGCAATGGGTAGGTATGCGGAGCGTAAAATTCTCACCTCCTGCGTCTGAACGGCCTCTTTAACGTGTTCGGCGATCTCAGCCGCTTTCAGGCCGGTCTCAATGGGCGCGACCTGCGAGTGCCGTCGCACCTGAACCTCGGTGGTGAGTTCCTGGTAGCAGGATTCCCCGGAACCACGTCTGCTGCCCGCGATACACATGGCTCTCCGAAAGAGTCCCGCGACGACGGCGCACAGGCCGCATTGCATACCCGTCGCGCTTCCACGGCTCGACAAGGATCCACCACCATTTGTCCGTCGACGGGTCCGAGTCCCGCGGGATCCACCGTCACGTCTTTGGGACGCCAGTTTTCTACCTCTTCCTTTATTCCCCCTTTCTCTCCTCTATTTTTATTCGATACAACTGTTCCCTCCTAGCAGATTTCACCATAAGGATTCCGTTTCATCTTTCGGTCATCATTGTCAGAGATCGTTCGCTCGTATTCGCGACTCGTTCCACCAACGATCTCCCGTTTTCACCGTGCGTTTCAGGCTAGCATTTCTTCCGACGAGCATATCACCTGCACCAGAAAACCACGTTGGAAATCGGGAATCGGGAATCGGGAATCGGGAATCGGGAATCGGGAATCGGAAACAGGTCCACAGATTTCGCGAGAAGTCGAGGGAGGAGCTCCAGCTGCCCTATCTCTCGGAGAACTATCGATTGGCATGGAGTTACGTCCGATAGTGTCTAACCATACCGTGAATGGAACATCGTGTACCGATGAACAATGCAGAGAAAAGAAAGGTACACCGAGGATAATAGATAATCGCTTCGAAGCACTTTAAACGTCATTCGAAATTTCATACTTTTTCAAAGCTTTTGGAAATACACTCATTTTTTTTTTTTTTTTTTTTTTTTTCATTAAATTTAGTACAATAACTCGGACTTTTTAAAAAATCTTTCTATAATTAATCAACAGTTTCTCAAGTGTTACAAGGTTACATTCCAGAAATGCTTATCAACGCGTCTGATTAACACGAAAATAGTGTTATTTTATTTTGCTACTTTCTAAATGTTAATGGTATTCGGGTTCTTCTTTCCTCTCGTGCTTTTTAATTATTCGATTAGTCAGCTGCGAACGTCAAGGCAGTCAACGTGTTAAATCGCTCGACAATTTTTCATAACAGTTTAAACCACCGTCGAAGCAATTCCAAATTGTAAACGATTCAACTATTCGGTAGGAGACGGTGTCGAATATCCATCGGTAAGCAGGAAGGTACACACCGTTCGACCTTTCGAATAATACCACGACGATGTCTCTGTGAAAAGTGTGACGAGTGAAATGTGTTGCGATGAAAATCGGGGGAAAAAAGCAGAACAGAGAAGATTCTGACCGCAGTGATTCGATAGAAATAAAGCAAGAATCAATAGGTATGTATATGCTCGCGTACATACACGTCTTCGTTGAGAAACGGAAACGTGAATTTAGCCACGGATGGAAGCTGCATCGCACGTGCTTGGTAAGGTGAAAAAGCAAAAAAAATTGTGATCGCGATTTTCTCTAACTAGGCACATCGTCGATCCTCGTTTACGTCGTCGTTAATGACGGTGAGGGGGGGGGCATCTGATAGGTCGTTCGGTAAACAAGGAAATCCTCCAGCTACCCCTTTCTCTCGATAAGATAGGAGAGCACGGAAGCAAGAATCTTTGTTCCCTTTGACCTCGATTTTTAAACGAGATTTTTCGCAGCCTACGGAGCTGCAATTATAACCGTGTGACGAAAATGCGCTCTGAAAGAACGTACGCGAGGCAAAAGAGGCGTAGAAAAAAAGATGGGACAAGGGGGACCACGTTTGTATGCCGTCTCTGCGCTCCCTGTCTATGCTATGTGCGAATAGGAGACGGATGGTGTTGTTACCGTTAAGAAAAGCACGATTCTTCGTGTTTTCGATCATGCGTTAACCGCACAACGTGCTTAATCGGGTTAGCCGTTATCGATAGGAGGAAAATTGTATTTCTCTTCGTTGAAAACCTGTCTTTCTCGAGAATTAAAGGAGCAGACGCGAGGTCCCATCGAGCATGAAAAATGTCGCGATAAATGGGATGCGAGTGCGATGATACCTTTGACACGGAGCTTGATTCAGGGCTTGGCTGTCGTCGCAGCGGAGTTGCTGACTAGTACGCGAGAAGAAAACCGACGGGGTAACGCCCGCGCACAGATATTGTAGCTGGTTCCTAACCGGGACGAGCCTAGGAACTCCATAACCGCGTGTTACGGGATGGCCCCCGGGCCCCGAGGCCCGGTGCCGACGAGAGCGCGAGCACGACGGCGCCTTTCCTCGATGCTTCGCCCCTACTTCGCACACCTTTCCATACAACAAAAGCGCAGCGATAGAAAAATAATCCCCCCCGAAACGATGATTTAGGGCCGAAAGAAGGTTCCAATTCCGTTATCAACCGACTATGCACGCCGGCCGGCCGCTATGCATGCACTGAACCACTAGATCCGAACGACAAGACGGCCGATGTCGAGCTCGGCTACGTTCGATCGTCTTCGTCGCTATTCGGCCCTGTTCGCCACCTAGCCACGCTTCCCGGACAGGCTAGCCGAACTCCGAACCGCGCAACGCTTACTCGGGACGGACGACGGACGACGGACTACCGACACGACGCGACGCGACGCGATGCGACGAGAGTAGCTCTCACTTCGCGTCGGGCTCTCGTCGCGAGTGCCCGATGCGGTTGCTTCTCGCCTTCTTCCGATACGTTTCTCCTCACAGAAGAGAGGGAACTCTCTCTCGTACACGAGCAGAGAAGATCAATAACGGATCCCTCTCCTTCCTCTTGTCGTCGCGCGTACACGGCCACGACGTAGCCGCCACGTATTTACACACGCACGTCATGCGAGTCTCTTGCTACCCTCGCCCGCGAAGGCTGAGGGCAACAACGATTTCGCGGTCATAAGAATTTCGTTTTTATCGATTCATTACAGATTTATAACCTGGAAGCGCATATCGATGGCGCGACTACGTTGCTGTTTTAAGCTCGGAGGGGAAGTTCGCGGATATGTAGATTTATGGTCCGTGTCTAATTCAATGGTCGGAGGAATTGAATCGGGTATTTAGAGATGAACGGTGGGGAGTTAAAAGGTGGCGAGACAAGTTTAATCCTCTCCAAGCCCAATCGAATTCTGTTGATTAAAATATGGGCGTAGGTTCGAAGGTTTTAACGAAAATAAATATTCTAGGATAGCTTCTAATCCTCCACATTTTAATGGCTGATGTCACGTATTCGTGACTACAATACGTAGTGTTTTACCTTATCATCCTTTAGTCGATTTCTAGCTAATGTACCAGTTATCAATAATTACTAATCTGAAAATTAATCATTTTCCGGCGTACATTAATGGAATTAAAATACAATTTTTATTAATAGACTTTGTTTAGATATTAAAAAGGTACATAACATTTTCAAGGTCATAAATTCAATGACGATTATGGCTGTCAAAATGTTATAATTTGCTTTGTGGGTAAACTTGGAGAATTAAAAATCTTAAATATCTTAAATAACATGACCTTGATCTATAACGTCAGTTGTATGAAAGAACCAGTAAAGAAGCTACATACTTCGAGTAATCATTTCAACTATTAGGTCAGATATCTATCATTTCAACTTTGGACATCGCAATTTTATTACCTTTTTAATTACCTTGGATAATAAACGTTCAGTTTACCTGAATGGACGTATTTGTCACTCATTTTTAGATACATAATAACCGTGGACCCCATAATTAATTCAAAAATAATTTAAAATTCATTTATCATCCAAATCAAATGTAACCAACATTCATTATTAATTATTATTGCAAATGGCAATTTCATCGAAATCTTTTTCAGAAACAGATATGCGAACGTATTTAATTATTTACATATCGCATTCTTACATTTATTCCGCGATAAATTACAGGTGAAATCCAAGTGCTCGTAGATTTACAAAATACCCCTGACGATGCGTCGTTGAAATTATAGTGATGTCCATACCTATCTCTGCACTTTACATAGATACCAGAAATGGCCAGATGAAAAATCGATAAACGTTTCCAGTTCTACATGTACAATTGAACCAGATAACGTATTCGCACGTATCGAAAACGCGGATGCAACTCGTCTATTCCATGAAACGATAGACGAATTCAGATTACCTGCTGAAATAACATTGAAGAGTATGTTAAAAGACAGAAAATAAACGGTATCAACACTTTACTCAACGATTTAGCTAAAACAATGCAGCTAAAAAACAATATTCTTGTCACTGGATTATTTTAAGCAAAAGAAAATATAAAAAATTTCGAATAGTGTCGCGCGATTAGGGGGACTTTCTTTCCCTACGTCGCCATTTTCCCTAGGGAACGCTACCATGCCTGATACTTTACTTCAGAAGGTCCATTCTCATTCAAGAAGCTATCTCAACGAGACCATCTCCGAGAAAGCTATTGTACGACTAATTATTTCCTAAACATCTAGAAATTCTCGTTTCATCATCAGGTCGCCCAAGTATGACCCTGAAAACACACGTAACAGAGCGTACACGATCCAAGGTGAGATTCTCTCTCTGGGGCAATTGCGGATAAAGAAAATAACGGTATGTTTTCAGTGAACCCTTTCTTTCTCCTTCTCTTACTGCTCCTCTTTGCAACGACAATCCCAAAGGGAGAAAATCGGGCTGCATTATCGTGAGATTGCCCTTGCCGCTATAAAAAGACTTGACCTGTATTCTCTTTTACGTTAAACCTAGGCAGCGCCATAGAAACCTCATTCCTTCCTTCTGACTTCCTTCGCGGCTCGTTGCGAAACACTTTTCATGATAGCTGTCACGATCCTTGAATACGTTTGTAACGAACACGACTGGCTATGCTCCAGCTGATCAATGACTAGGGAATTTAGGCAACAATCCGCTTTAGAGAATTACATCTAGATCCTGAATGAGATTGACATACTTAACGGCTGTTAGGATCGTTTTATCAAAAGCATGTAGCACCTCTAGTGGAATTGTAAAAAAATATTACTTCTTTGTCGTAGAAACGTTCCTACTTGATTATTGCTTATTTTTACAAACAAGTAAGAATTTAATCCGTATGCTGACCTTAGAAGTAAAGCAGGTCCGCTACAGTTCAACAACGTTTCACGCAACGAAACTTTGAAATAGACGGCTCGAGTATTTAGAAATTCAACTAAGGAGTCCAAATATAGACGGTACGTAAAGCAGTACAAGTACATATCTATTACCGTGGTAGAAATACGAGTACTGCTTTCCTTGACTTTGTCAAGGTACATACTTCGACGTATAACTAGCAGCTGGAATTACTTACATAGGGTAACTCTAGCTGGTTATTATTCGTCAAATATCAAAATTTATCATAATTATTGTGTCCAAAAAAAGTGAATTTGGTACTTTTCTATGTTTCACTGTTTCACTGTTTCACTGTCCGTTAGAGGGGCTAGTGTCACTCCAATAATGCTTTGAAATAATTACTACACCAAATACTGGTAATTGTCGAGTATCGAGATGATTGATAAGATCTCCTTCCCTAAATAGCTTTCTTCTCTATAAAAGGCTAACATGTACTTTGTTCTATCTGTTTGTTTGAATGATCCTTTAATTACAGATCTACGGATATCAAAGAGTATATTCTGACAGAGAGTAACAGGAACAATCGAGTCCACAAAGATGGGTAAAAAGAAGAAAAGAGAAGAATGTTTAACTGATAGTGAGAACCTCTGTCCGTTTCGTGGGTTGGATTCAACCGTTGTTGGGGCGACTCTGCTGGTCGGTCATTGACCTCGCAACTGCAACCACCCTATCTCACCCTCTCTCTCTCTCTCTCTCTCTCTCTCTCTCCCCTACTCAACTCGTAGGTGCTATGAAACTATTCCATCTATCTGTTCTCTCTTTTCGTATCTATCGTTCTTACTGTCTGGTTACTCGTTATGACCTTTTCTACTTCTTCAACTTTCATTCGGATAAGGATAATTTGTTTACCAGCGCGAACTCGTGAAAGAAAACCATTACTTCCGTTTATAATTAAATCGTTTATAAAAATCACATGGATTGATTAGCCATTTCAGGATTTATGGGATAGTACCTTTAAGAGGAATGATCGAGTAACGTGTGTTGGTTTCACCTCTGAATTCGAGTGTCACACGGTCCTTCTTCAAATAAATTGCATGTCATTCTACCTGAACTATAGCCGTGTACAGAAAGAAACAGGGAAATGACGAAATGATGTGTTCAATAATAATGGTCGCAATAAAGCTTCATAATGTTTAGCTATAATCGATGACATTCAGTTATGTTGAAGAAATAGGTAGAGTTAAAAAAATTGGAATTTTGATTAGCCACCTACATATTGTAATTATAGTATTTATGTAATTATGCAGTTATAGTATTTCAATTGCAGTGAAACTATTTTTTCGTATAATTAATTGTAAAAATTAGCAGTTCATCAGCAGTTTGAATATTTAATATAGCAATATTACCTAATTGTAAAAAATTGAATCCCTCTGTTACAATATCGAAAATAATAATAGGACCCAAGTTTCTTCTGGACCAGTGCAACAATGTCCCGAAATTTGCATAGCTAACCTCGACATACGAGTTTCCGAGCGAGCAGAACCGGCCGAAATGTCAAAGTCCCAACAGGCGGTGAGAAAACAAAATCGCGCGGAGCCAGGTCAAAACTCAGCTCGTTTGAAACTCTCTAATAGTTGATTAAACTACACGTCACCGCGAATATTGTGTGTAACGTTATTAATACTTGGGTATGCTCGTGGAGAAGAAGGAAAAAAAAAGAAGAACGCGACGCGACGCGACGCGACGCGACCCGACGCCGCAAATTCTACAGCTCGCGTTCGAATTTGCCAATGGTGGACCTGCGGCAGGGTTAGGGGTGATTCGCCATGCCCGGGGGATGAGAACGGACGTGGAAAAGGTGTTCCTGGGAAGAATGCGCGCGCATTGCTACTCATCGGCTGGAGCCCCGGATCCAGCCTTACGAGATCGTTATACATATACTGTTATACGCGAGGTATATCGAGAATTTTTGTACAGTAAAGAAAATACTGCTGATGCCAAGGTTTATCATCGGAGGCTTACAGGTATTGATGGATATTCGATATTCTTTCTTGCAAGCTTTCAGGAAGTTTAATTAAATTCGAATTATTATTGATTTTTGAAAATGAAGAACATACTTATGTACAACGGTATTCAAATTATTCTGTATGTAATGTAATATAATATGTAGGAATGATATTTAATGTGTTGGTGATGTTCTTTTGAAAAATTCCCACCAAAAAAAACTTTACGGGATTGAAATGAGAAGATTGAAGAGGCTGGCACTGGTTCACCCTAGCCAATCCATCTTTCATCAAAGATACTATTTATATACCGTCAAACGGTGAATGTAAAATGAGTTGGGGTTCCGTCGTGTCACAATTTCAGTCTTACACTATAAGAGCATAGTATGCTCTTCGACAATCAATAATACAGATGAATTACATAAGGAAATATGAAATGTTGGTAAAGTAGTTGGAATACAGTCCAAGAATTTCTGATAGGGTACGTAATTCTTTGAGACGAAGGTATCAGGTGTGCGTGGAAATAGGACACGATCTACTCTTTTATGTAAAAGGATAATTCTGAAGAAAAGAAAGCCAACAGTTTTATCCGAAATGAAAAATTAATTACATCGAGTAGAGTGGCCAAAATTTCAAGTGGCCACTCCTTAATTCAAAAATTACAAAACATCAGATTTCCAGAATTTCAGATTTTAGGGACAATTT